AGATCTAATAGGTCTTTATATATTATAAATATTAGTAGTATTATACACCTTATAGTTAATATAACTATAATAGGAAGAAAGATTTAGGTAATAATTAATAGTAGAGTATAAGGAAATTTTATCTCGCTAAATCTCATTAATAAATTACGATTACCTTAAACACCTAAAGATAAGCCCTATTAACTTATAACTATGGAAGGAACTATAGTAAAGTATAGCTACAAAGTAGGTAATATAAAGATTGCGTAGCTTCTTATTAATATATAAGGCACGAAACACTAAGTTATACTAGATATTATAGTAATCTTAAAATACGATATATTAAGGATACCTTAATTACGAGTAAGTAATCTATAAGTTAATTAAAGAACCGGTTAACTTTAATGGGATTTACTAGAATACGGTTACGAAGCTAAGAGTAGCCTACGAAGAGCATCTTATTTGGATTATAATAGGCCTCTAGGAATATACGACCTAGTAGTGCTTTTACTATCTTTTTCTTAAAGCTAGTAAATTACTATTTAATAGGTTTTATTATTAATATAATATTAAATTTATTAACTTATTAATATAAATATAATATAAATAAGGATTCTTATACTTACTTAATAGCCTTCTCTTTTCTTCTTTAATTATTTATAAAATATTATAATTTTAAATAAGCTTAAAGGGAAAAGTATTATTTACTCTTTTCGTATTATAAATTAAATATAATTAATATTAGCTAAGCTTTTATATATATTTAAGAGGTATTTCCCCTTATATTCTTTAATAAAGTTTAAAAGCTCTTTTAATTTTAAGAATATATCTAGTATAAATTAGTGTTAAATTCACTTTAAATTAATTTTAAATAAAATCTTATTAAAATTACTTAAACTTATATAAGGCTTATTAATTTATCTAATAACTCTTATAATACTTTATAAAATATAGACCTACTATGCCTTAGAACCTAAGCCACCGTTACACTAAGCTCTTAACTAGCTTATTTTAATAGCCTTAAGAATAAGACTAATAAAGAAGGGGTATAATATTACGAATAATATTATATAAGACATGGGACGAGACCGTACTAGCTAGAATAGCTATAACTCGTAGGTATAAGAAGAAGGTAAGGGCACGTGACTAGCTACGTAACTTAAAAGGTAATTAAAGACTTAAGATATTAAGTTAATAATTTAAGATAAGACTTAATAAAATTAAAGGTTAAGTTAATTAATTAAAAAGTTAAAAGAATTAATAATTAAGCTAATTAATTTAATATTTAACTTAACTTACTTCCTAAGAAATAGACCTATTATGCCTTAAAACCTAAGCCACCGTTACATTATAATAATATTTACCGTAGGTTTTAGTTAAGATTAGGTTTTTAAATACTAGCGTAAAAATGCTTAAATAACCTCTCGTAAATCTAGTAAAAGGTAGGGTTACTACTTACTACTAAGTTACTAGTATAGTAAGACTATTACCTTCTATAAGTCTAATTAAAGGTAGGGTTACTACTTACTAGTATAATAAGAGTAATAATTTATATCTTATAAATCTAGTTAAAGGTAGGGTTATTACTTACTAGTATAATAAGAGGTAATTTATATTCTTAGTAACCTAATAAAGGTATTATTCGCTTAATAGTCTAAGAATAAAAGAATACCTTTAAGGGAAGACTATTATTTATAATAAGAGCTTAAAAAGAGCTTAAAGCTAAAAGCTTAATTCATTTAATAGTAGTCTTTAGTATTAAAGGTTCTTAGTTTTTTAAGTTCTTAAGAGACTAAAAGGTCTCTTTAAAATATAAGAAGTTAGTGAGGGTCTTTACCCTAGGTCCCGTGATCGTAGCCCTCGTGTAACCGTGTGACAGTGTTGGCCTCCCTCCTGCTCACATGGGCTTTGTTCATGGGGATTTGTCCGTTTTAAAGTAAAGTTTTACCTAGCCGTTACTTGTCATACCATGTACTACACCATCGACCAGGCTAGAACACAGCCGCATCCCAGGCAATATCCCGGCGGGAACGCCGCACTCGCCATGTCAACTTGTATCAAATCAGAGAGGTCTTTCTTTGAGTCGAAGAAACAGAGGGCCCTTCTCGACTACTATTCTAACTTTCCACTTGGTCCAATCGAGGGCGTGGTCCGGGTCAACCGAAATGTCAAATGCCCACACCAGTCTAGCAATGATCAGTCTCAACTCGGCCCAAGCCAGCGCCTTGCCGGCACACCCTGTCGGGCCTAAGCTAAAAGGCCTACTAGCGGCATGGTTGTCATTAGCGAATTGTCTAGGACGTTGACCTACGGGTAGCCAGCGCTCTGGATGAAACTCGTGCGGTGCTTCAAAATATCGAGCTGACGTATGAAGAATGGCTGGCCTAACCGATATTTTCGTCTTGGATCGTCAGAGAAAAGCACACTTGTCAGAGGTTAAAGTATGACATACCCCTCCAGGGAGAAAATGACCAGAGTAAGTCTCGCCGCCGGCAGGGACAACGCGTGGGAGGAGGCCTGGAATTGCAGGGCATAGCCGAAGCCCCTCCTCAATTACCGCATCCAAGTACGGTACATCTTTGGTTCCGTCAACAGTAATGTCTTTCTCGCTCTGGAACCGCTTCCGAATGGTATCCTCCAATACCGCCAGCTTGTCAGTGTTTCTCGTCAGATAATGAAGCGTTCCGCACATTGTAACAGTAGTCGTGTCTGACCCAGCAATGATAAGAATGGCGAAGTTGGACTCGATCTCGCCCTTGGACATGTTTTCAAAATCGCGATTATCTTTCAAGAACGACGTCATGAAGTCGTGGCGGGTTGTTTCCAGGTTAAGACGGCGGTTGACTTTTTCAGATACGAATTCGACGTGCTGCTTTTGCTGGTCCATTACACTCCGTGGGATGAGAAACCTCTCGACGAAAGATCCTACCCACGGGTATATTCTAGCCACTCCAGCGAAAGTCATTCCCTTTAGGAAGGTAAATAAAGTTCGAACCCAGGAGTGGTATTCACCATTCTCCAAGCAACCGAATGTCTCACCCAGAGCGAGATCCCCAATAACGTCAAAGGTGAAAAAGCTGATCCAGTCACCCATGTTCACCACTGCCCCTTTGTGTGCCGCGTCTGGGGCCGAAGCCTTGTCACGTAAGCGGGAAATAAGAAGTTCCGCATAGCCCTCGATGATGGAACTCTGGTTGCTTATCGCAGATTGGGTGAATGAACTGCCGAGGCATTTTCTCATTCGAGCGCGCACGGCCGGGTCAGTCGTGGTGAAAACATTTTGAGGTGCTCCAGATGGCGCTTTTGAAGCAGTGTCAGCGTATGACTGATCAGTGTCCTGCACAACCTACCAATGTACCAAGTTGCGTCTTTAAGCGCTTCCTTGTGGCCTGGTCTATGCCCGTATATCTCTCTCCAGGCTTCTTCAGTGGCAAAAGAAATCTCATTCGGGCCAACGCGAACGACATCGCCATATTTTTCATGGATTTCTGCAAAGGACTGAACCAGGCTGCAACTGAAGATGCCTCTGATGTACGGCACATATGTTGCTGTCCACGATTTGGGACCTGGGAGTTTGGACAAGGGGTGAAAATAAATGTTATAGACGATCGAACCTATGGGATACTTTATGTGCCCGTTAGCAATTACCATACTTCTGCACAAGGGAGGTGATCGTACAGCAAGAATGAGACCAGCAATCACTACAAGCTGTAGTGCGAGGCTGTTGGCGATGGCGCTAGTAATCGACCGCATGGGGAACATGATGACATGTTGTGCTTGTGTCGTGCAAACAAGGAGTGCCTCAAATGACAGATTCAAGCTGCCCCCGAAATTGAAGGGGTCAGGTATCGTGGCAGCATGAGCTCTCTGCCCAAGTCTCGAAACAAGGTGGCTGGCCAACAATATCTCTTGGAAGTCAGTGGACGCCACCGGACTTCAGCTACATGGATCTATTGGCCGACCATTGGATAATGCATTCGGATGCAGGACCTAGAACGTTCTATGTTGCAGGATACGGGCCGCGCCATGCGGATCGCATTGGAGGGGAGGAGAGGGGTAGCAGGACTGACGAGATAAGATGGATTCGAGTTGCGAGTTGCAGTGGCATAATAGCACATGATGAGCAAATTTCCACTACATGAATCCTGCAAGGTCTGAAAGGAGGAGCAGATAAGAGGCAACTTTGCTCGATCCCGTCGACGTCCCTTTCGTCGCGGAAGAGATGTGTCTCAAAGAAGCCGAACTCAGATGTGGCCCGCTAGTAAGTATACACGATGGAAGATTTCATGCAAGAACTGGAAATTCAAAAGGCTCAGGAGGAAAGGATGTTCCTACGGTGAGGGGTTTTGTCTAAACCACCGCAGCAACTCTGTGAAGTGGTCTACAGTACTGATGCTTCTGTCCGACGCTTAAGAAGTGGCAAGCGTCCGAGCTAGGTCCGGACCGAGCCTCCCGTCTTTGTGGCTGAGGAAGTAGGGCTATCTTGTTACACAAAGGAAGCCCCGGAATAGTATTCGACTTCTTTGAAGTCAGTCAACACTGCTGGGATGCCGAGTACTTGTGTCCACAAATACAACCATCAAACTTAGTACCCAGATGGGACACAAATAAGAATAGCGTTAGTTAGCAGTGAGCTTATTGCGGATCTAAGGCGTTAAAGATTCGGGCCAGAACCGAACCATAATTCTTTTCCTTCATCTACATGGGGCGAACGATTTATGAATGAACTGGTGGGACACATGTCAGCTATATCGCGCATACTGTCCAACGCAGTTGGCCTGAAAGAGCATGTAGGCCGGAAAAGGGCGAAAAAGACACAGGGATTGCCGCCTCCGGATTGTAGTCCGTTCCACTTGCGACATCCTCCTGTTATAGCTGGCTTCTTATCCACAGCGCTGTTAAGGAGCAGCTTCAGAACAGCCGCAGGTGAGAAAGAGTACGAGCAGTTTCTGTGGCATGAGGAGATGGAGCAACCCTAGGGAAGTATGTTCGCGGGAACATGGCATGTTGAACAAGGTGGTAAAAGGATGCAGGGTCAGTGGCTCACTATTCCTCGCGGCCACCATGTTTTTGTGTGCCACGCATTCTGAGACAGTAGGAAATCTGCAATTACCCCGCCCCATCGAGATGGGCATACTACGGGACACGGGAAGTATAGTTCTAGTGTAGAGAGTTACTTGCTGTGCCGGTATTCTATCTATTTAGGTTATCTACCAATTTGAGCCAGTTGCCATTAGAGGCAGTTCTTTCAAGTCTCTTGAGCCCATCTCATTTATTAATTGAAGATATTTCGATATAGATACAGGATTCAGTCGCCCCTATTGCTCACCGCCAATGTGATATGGCGTTGCCTAGGCTATGCAGGTCTTGGAACGCACGTAAAGCCTGAGAACATCCACATCTGACCGACCTTGGAGTCTGACAAGTGACCTTTTTCCATTGCTACGTTAACCTGTTGCAACTTCTCAATATGCCAGGACTTGTAATCGGCCAATGGACAGATGACAAGCGAGACATTGTGCAGAAATATGTTGGCCGATAATGCCAAAAAAAAAGCCGTGCATCAACCAGATTAGAGATGCAAATGTAAAGAGTACTCTGTTTGTCGATCATGCGCGATGTGCTGCGCTGCCACCATCTTTCATTGCTATCCAACCAAACAACAACGAAATGCCGGGACAGCCTATTTTGAGCGACCTGCAGCTCAACATCCCACCAATAAAGTTCAGATTACCCAGACAAATAGTTGGCATGCAGGTCGATGAGAACCATAATGAGGCGCAGTAGAAGAAGGAGAGATGTATCAAGAGGCGCTTTCCGTTCTCACTCCTGATCTTTCTACTCAAAAGTCGTTCCAGCCACAAGTGTGTTTACCATAAGTCCAGCCAAGTACAAGCCAATTAACAATGCCTATTCCAACAGAAATTGTCGGTATGTTAGCCACGGAAACACTGTTGTATGTCGAGTCATTCACTAACTATTCTTCAGGGTCGTTCCCACGGCCATCTTGTATGTGGCACCTGGGGCCATGTGGCGACCTAGAGGACGCACTAGGGTTTTCAAATGACCTAACCTTCCACCATAGATCTTTAACAAGCCTTTGCCGACTTTGAGGCCGGAAGTATATCTCGCCATGACCTCCAAGATGCGCAAGATAGGGCCTCTAAAGATAGTATCGAGAGGTTGGAAGCGACTGGCGAGACATTGGTCACTGATGGGGAACAAAGAGTGAGCAGCTTTGCGACATATCCCGCTGTAGAGTTAGGTCGCCTTGCCGCCTGAAATAGACCGACGAGACTGATTATTATGCCCAGAGCTTTGATGGGAGCTGGACTCGGAAGCAGTTTTGCAGGGGACGGTCAGACGTTTGCGGTATTTGATGACGGACATTCCCGCCAACTACCTCGCCTCTTGCCCTTCAAATATGCCACCTATGCCTTCGAAAATTGAAAAAAGTCTGCACCATATGCTACACGAGGATTGAAGCAGGCTGTCATTTCACCATCTATGCTGTACCTGCTATATCCTCTGGAGGGGGAAATAGCGGGACCTCCAGAGGATATAGCGGGATATCCGAGGAGCGCCTTTATGCAGGATCTGGTTGATGAATGTGAAGGATATCCGTGGCTGTCTTCAAGCTGGCGCCCAACGAGTCAGTATTGATTTTACCGAGGGCAGCTTGGCGCTAAAGAATGATCTTTCCAATCCTTGGACCGGCGCTGCATTACTCGACCGCTTCATTGACCTTATTAACCACGTCTTGGCGCGTTTTTTGCCCGAGGAGAGAGCGAATATCGGTCTTCACACATGCCCAGGCGGTGATTGCGACAGCGTACACTCTGCTGAGGTTCCGTACAGTCAACTGCTACCCAGTCTCTTTGAAATTAATGCTGGCTACTTCCTTATCCAGTTTTCGAGTGAGCAAGACCGGGATTCCATGTATAGGATTATCGGGGAGTCAATTCGCCAGGATGCCGAGGGTGCAGAGCAGGTTGCTTTCATCGGAGTCGTCAGCCCTATTCACCCGAGGGTTGAGACACCCGAGGAGATTGCGGACCAGCTGGTCATGGCCTCCCAGTATATTCCTACTGATGAGCTGGGTGCTACGGATGATTGTGGCTTCTCACCTTTCTCCATCGATGTGAAGCCAAAGCATGGAAGCCCAGACTTGGCGAGAGACATTGCGTTCCAAAAAATAACCAACAGAGTTCAGGGGGCCCAAGACGGCCAGTGAACGGTTGGGTATTTAGCTAGGCCATTGTTGGAGAAATGATGATGGTAGGACGCCTTACTATGCAAAAACAGCTAGGCAATGACGGTATCAAAGTATCTGCAAGGCAAGGGAGGAGTTAAATTGTCATCAGGGGAGATTATGAGCTTGATAAATTTACAAATGACAAACAATCTTGCTTCCTAGTTTCTCTAAACAGACGCACCAAACCAGGCAGTGCGAGCCTCACTGCCCCGTATGTCCCCTCGTTCGATTTGAAATGCCTAATTTTAGACACCCTGGCAACTTGAGTGGAAGCCTCGAGATTCGATGAAATATTCGTTAATCGAAGCTTTGGTTACCATCGTTGAGGAGGACCGCATCTAGCAGTCACGCAGATAGGAGGTACAACATGTCGGAACTGTAGGATATCAAAATAGCTCAGCGTTCAACACAGATTTTATTTTTATTTTTAATATTTTTTAATATTTGACAAGCCTCGAAAGTCGCCTTCAACAGTCCCAGTTGTATGTTTATCAACCCACCTTACGGTATAACTTCTGCCAAAATCAATGATCCAGGCATTGTCATCATTGTCAATTAAAATACTCTTAGCTTTTGCATCACGCCAAATGATGCCTTTTCGGTGAAGTATATGCAAAGGTCGCTCAACCTGGTCGGCCCAGCGATCCTTGAACTCAATCGATGCTGTCTTAGCTCTTCCCTGACTTAGGAATTCTGTCTTGTCAATCCAAGCGAACAACATTCCTGCCAATTCATCGCGTGGTCGGGGTCAAATTACACGTTGAATGGCTTGAAAAGAAGACGGTGCGACTGTCCTTGCCACCAACTGCCACCTTTCCGGGCGGTCTGATGAGGGCATGTTCAGGCTGGTCGTGGCATATCTCGACATTTGTTGGGTGATGTGGCTGCGTCCGACGGTCCAAGTCGGCCAAGAGTTCGTCATCCACCCAGATCCTCCGACTGCCCCGGCCATGATCTTTCATATCGCGAACATGTGGCTGCAGCTTCTCAGTGGATGCAGCTGGATGGCAAATGAAAAAGAGGTGGGAGAGGTATTGTAATAATTTCGGTGATGCTGCAAAGGGGCCTGGGCACTCTGGCTTCGAAGAGGGCAATTAAAGGCTCGAATGCCTTGGAAAGCCGGTCAAATGCGTCTTCCTTGTACTCCGTAGAAGTCGCCAATATCCTCCTCTCGCGATCTCAAAAGATGCAGGCATTTGAAGTACGTCTCTTTAACCTGTGGGGGGTGGCGGAAATCCGAGGGGAGAATTTGGCAATAAAAGGCCATATCATTGCTTTGTGCGAAAGATTCGTTCGCAATCGTCTCCGGGAGAGCAAGATCATGGGGGGCCCTTTTTCCATTATCAGAAGGAAAGATACAGACACCACCAGCCGTAGGGTGAGGTATTAGTCGGCGTGGCAAAAGTCTCGTAGACGCCTTCGACGGAGCCAGACACTGGAGCACAGCGAAGGAATAAACCAGTGCGTGCGCCTTTCACGGTGCTGATATGGAACATGCTTGCCTCAGCGCCGCAAGATTGCGGGATTTGATGACAGTTTCTCACGGGATTTCTTAACAATTGATATGTTATAAACTAGATAATGTATATAAAAGTCAAATTTTGGCGGTATCCTACTTGTAATAATACGAAAGATTCTGCAAAGGCTATAGTTAAAGCATTTCTTTACTGCAACTCCAACAAGAGGGCTAGAGAGATTCTCTGTCCCGAATAGTGCGACAAGTGTTCGATGAGTGAAGGCTTGCAAGTTGCAACTGTGCTTGTATCCGACTAATACTCTGCTTTGTATCAAAGGTTCTTGGGTTTTCCTTCAAGGGCCTTGGGCCAGAAACCCCTTATTTATACAAAGCAACGGTGAGCCTTGGAGCCTGGAAGCTTAAGGCTTCAACTAGGTCTCGAGCCCTTGTGTAACTGTGTAACCATCACCAGTATCCCTGCCACGTGGCTTACGTGTAAGAATTAGTGTAGAGAGCCACACGCCATCGGTTTCCAAGCAGATATGGGCCATCATACATAAGGAAGGGTGCCAACATGCATTGTCAATGTCACGCTTCAACGTTGTGCAGCCAGCTGAGCCAGTGACGAGGGCCCTGGCTATGTGGACGAATCCTTTTACGTCTTGAAGCGTAGCCCCCTTCGGACCTGTCTCCGGTTTGAGACATTGTCGAGACTTTGCCAAATTTTGCTATCCAAGAGGTACGTAGGTTGGATTTAGTGGATTTCTGTCGCCCCAAGGCACAGGCCGAATTTAACGCATCGCCTCGAATTTATATATATTTCATGAGATTCAATAGAATGACCTTTCTTATTGAGTCTGTCTTGATAGAGCAGAGACACTCCGGCCGGGTAACCTTCACCATGCCATCCGATCAGGTGATCATAAGGCACCTAGAGCGATCGATGTAACAGGATGCGCTTCGGTAGTAGCGCAGTGTCGTATTCTAATGCCATTGAGACTGTGTCCATGGAATGGCGCAATCTTACATGTTGACCGGCTCGCCGTGTTGATTGTTTCTCGAGAATTTAGCAAGGGCTCTTGAATTGTGCATCATGTCTGGTAGATTTCCTGTATGCGCAAGCACTGTCACGTGTTTGAGGTGTAGAGGACGATGTCAATGTGTCTTGCTATTCGAATGTCATCTTCAGTCGAAGACGCAGATAGCCATCTGGCGCATCATAATGAAGCATTGGGTGATGCTTGCCAGATCATGGCAAAGTTTTAAACACCAGACGTGTTTAATCTTTGCCAGGCCTTCTGATTTTCTCGGCATCGTGCATCATGACGAAATGCTGCTGCGTGACCCCCATATGATTATTACAGGACTGAAAACTACATGTCTTGCCGGGGAACTGGTACCGTCAGGAGTGAATGTCTGAGTGGACTATGCCTTGCATGTGTATCCCGAGCCCTAGTCATGTACTTTGCCCGAAAAGGATGGCTTCTGCTTGGTTTCAAATGAGCGCCAAGCATCTGGTTGCCTTATTGGAGTGGCCTATACGGAGTGATTAGCCAGATATTTCTTGGGCCATCGCAGTACGTTATATCTCTGCGTGTCTCCCCTGAACGACGAGTTGGATGGAATAGGAAACCAGCCACAGCCATATCTCTTCAGGATCACTGTACAGCTGGCCTCTCCTTTGTCATTTCCTACCTCCCGCACCTTTAATATGCTGCGAAGATATATAAGCATAGAATGCTGTTCAAGAACCAGATAGATTTTCAATTGCACTTCATCCGTTTGTTACTTATAGACCTCCAACTACGCTGTCAAGATATCCATACAAAAGACCGCGCTCCGCATACAAATGCCTCAGTATCAGACTCCCTTCTATGGCAGAGATAGCGGGCAACCCTTTTCCCTCTACCCATATGCGCATTCATCCATTGTAAAAGTCCTGGAGATATGGAGCGGCTGGGGATCTGGGGATGTCACGGGCTATTGGGTTCTCAAAGGTATCCGACTGACGTGGTTTTCCGGGGAACAGAAAGGACTCTACAACCATCCGGCAGATACAGACATCTATTCGAGATATGAGTTTGGAAGCAATGAGAGATCCAGTTTTAACATACGAGCGGGGTGGTGCATCAACAAGTTCGGCTTTCAGACAAGTACTGGAAACCTCTGGGATGCCGGAGGTGACTCCGGTCATCTTTACTTAGACATTGCAAACGGCTCCATTGTAGGGTTTGAGGGAAGCTCAGTCTGGGAACTCGACTATCTCAGAATGAGATTTATTTAGAGTCTGACCTAACCTACTATGGTGAGTGTCAGATTGTGGTAACATGTGATGATATCACTAATTGATACGTTCAGATCGAAAAAACTGCATTGGTTGCTCTTGGAAGCGGTCACTCTATCTGAACACCTCGCCTTGGTGTAGGTTTTTATCCCCCAGATTGAGCTTTAGGGTTTTCCCTACACTGTAATGCAAATGCAAAGGCGCTTTAGTATATCCATGAAAAACTTGAAAATTCAAAAATCTCTTTGAGGTCCCCGTAAGGTGTGCGCGTACATGCGAACGACTGGCCAATCCGTACTTGATGATTTTGCCATGGCGGCCACAAGGGGCGGCATTGCTCTGACACTTCCGATGGCACTGTTGGGCTAGTCTTTGACAAGTATTAAGTTTTGAATTGTTTGTTTTGTTTTTCGACCTGCTCAAATGATCTTGCAAGCACTACATCAGGTAGGGCCCAGTGAGAGTAACACAATGTGCCTGGCCGTTACCCAAGCCAGAGAGCTGCAGCAGACCATGTAATAAGAGAATTAACGCATCGCGATGCGTCAGAACTCAGAAGCTCGCAAGATTGGTAAAAAGCAGAAGAAAAAAAAAATAGACACTGTTTGGTAGTTTGACCTCATCCCGGAGGGCTCCCTGGAAATTGTATCACTACAAAGTCAAGTCAATATAGATATTCTTTGTCTAGCTAAATTAAGCTAGCAGTTATACATACAGCTCCTAGTAGGTTTATTCACACGGACGTGCTTTCCATGCGTCGCGTGCCGCACTCTTACTGCCGTCGCACAACCCGTGTGGAAGACATACGCCGAGAGGTTTCAGCAAACACCTCGGCCAAAGGCACCTGAACTTTTGGCTTCTTGTCGGGATTGCCTGCCTCTTGGCCCCATCTTTGGCTCCCTGCATATGGCAGCCAGACGGGCGTGTCCAACCTCGAAGGCATGGTAACATTAGTTGTCGCTGCACCTCACGGCCTGCTGATGGAACCAGCCACTGCCCGCGTAAGCAGAACAGAAAAGTTATAAATGATGGCCTTGAACACCAAGACGCGCCGGGCTGCCCTGCTTCCTCTTCACCTCTCAATCTACGCGTTGAGCGCATTCACCAACGAGTGAGAATCCATCATGTCTCGTGCAATTCAGACGAACAAGGGCCTCAACCCCGGTGAATGGGGCCGATGGTTTGTGGCCGCTGCCACACGAGACGACATGAAGACGTTCCTCCGGGGGTTGCAAAAGTACACCAAGATCAGCAACACAAGAATAACCGAGGTGAAACCTGTCAATCTCGCTTGGTGGACTTTTCAATCGATCGGCCTCTATGACTTGTTGGAGCTTGTCAAGCAAATCTACCATTTGAACACGTCTTACTACGGCAACATCGAGGAACTGAACGAGAGCTACGGCAAGATCCACGTTACAGTCTTGTCTGATGCTGGGGGGAGAGACTGGCCGATACTCCCACTCCAGGACGTTTCTCTGGACCATGACTTTTGAATGCCCAGCCAGGGACAAGCTTTTCTACGCTTCTGAATGTGCTCATTTGTCTAGATGGCAAAACATGGGCCATGTCTGGAGGATATTGGAAGGGGTTGGACGGATATGATATATCGTTCATTTGCCAAAATACATCTCGTTATTCCGACTGGCGTAAAATGGTACCATGGGGCACAACATGTCTGGTATTTGATCCCCTCGAGATGGCCATTTTTAGAGGTCGCGCACGGGAGCCATCCTCCTAGACGCATGTAGCTTCTACATGCCATGTCTTTTTTTCCTTTTTTGGTCTTGCTCTGTCAACTCTTGCATTCATCACCTGCGTATACGAGTGTTGTGCTACCCCTAATGCCGCGACTCGACTCATGTCAGCTGCACCTCGAGACCTCACACCACTCGTACGAACTCTGGTCGTATGCTGAAATAAAATATCCAAACATTTGAACCCCAGTGTCGAGACGACGAGAATTGTTTCACGCCACACGGCGACCATGGCCGCATCATCCTCGACCCACGGGTCCATGAATGATGTTTGATGCAAAATGTGACTTGTACCCAGTGGACTGGTCGAGCAGGGCATTTGTGTGATGCCATCATCCGTCAAACCAGACCGTACTGAGACGAGCTGACAGCTTACGGGGCCCGGAATTGTCCAACCATTGCGAGATTGAGCACCAACACTTCAGTTTCAACCGATGCAACTTGTACGGATTTGCTTGCCATTGTCCAACGCCATACACACGCTGGCACCATGCTCAAGAATGACATGTAATCCAAGCTCACGACCTGGTATACACCAATCGATACCGTTGTGCTTTTCCAATGCTTTGTATAAGCCATTCGTCCCATCTCATGACTGTTTTCTGACCATATGCTCCAATTTCAGACTCATGGCTCGGATCAACGACCAGGGAGCCAAATGCCACGGCCGGAACAAAGGCCAGAACACTCCAAACATGCGCGTCGACAACATGTCTGGTGTCTTTCCCAGTGCAATGCCCCGATTAGGCGAGAGACTCCCAAAACAGCAAATCCCACATTTGACCACCCGTCCAAGACGACAACCCAGCCAATTCGCCCGGCAGTCTTTTCAGGAATAGGCAAGTGCACCATCCCGAGTGCCGTCACCATGGCCATGAACCCATTTGCCACTGGACCAGTGTGACACCGCACCCAACCCGCTTCTGTGCCGGAAAGGTTGAACGTCATCAGACGCCCGGGGACTATTTCGATGCCGCCCATGATGTGCATGTATAGGCCGAAACCGCCTAGCAGAGCCGCCAGAATCATTACATAAGGCACCGTGGCCGATCATGCGCCGCCGGAGGGAGTCCTGCGCCATACTAGACATGCTGCTCTGCGTGTAAGTGTTATGCTGGTCATGGGAGACGAGTATCAAAAGCCAATGGTCTGATGTTTGATACTAGTCAATAATGAATTTAATTTAAGCAAGTCGTGTAGCCTGGGCCTGGGTATAAACTGTGGGTTGAGTTGCCTCGGTGAGAAGCATTTGTGCGTGGCTCCGTGTCGCTCTCTGTCAAGCCCGGCACCGCGGCCGTGAACTATCCCGAATGTACGTGGTAGTGGGATTCGGACGAAAACTTGATCAGAACCAGAAATTTCATTGGAGAGTTGACTCAATCAAGTACGGCATAAAGACGGACCAGCTGTTGGGAGCCTGCCACAGAGATAACTTGCCAGCAGCATTCAACGCGAGTGATTTGGTGCTAGAGCCCTTATGAATGCTCCGGTGATTCGCTCCAGGCCTTGGCAGTTGCTACTAGAGACTTTGAGGCAGAAAGCCTCATATCCAGGTTGTCCTCTGGTCAGGCATGTATCTCCAAATAGATGCGAAATTAACAAGGCCAGGAGCGAAGCTGTTCTACCGTTGGTCAAAAAGAAGAATAAAGAGCATTATCTCAAGTCGCAGCAAGCACCCGAAGTTCTTTCGAGTTATCTATGAATGCCTTGCACAGGTCCGCGAGAACCTGGGAGACAATTTCGCGTGCGGCATTTTTCTCGCGCAATTAGTTGAGTTGCCCCCTAGGGTTTTAAATGCGTACCATGACGCTCTACTCCGTGACTAAAGGATACCAAGGGCTCGACCCTCTCCGAGGTGTGCAGTTGCCTACTGTACATGAGCTCGTGCAGCTCTGTCCTGAATCGCGTGAGCAAGTATGCCATCTCCTTTATCCGCCAAACAACCCTATATTTTGGATCAAGTACGGTCATAAAATTCATTGGAGCGAAGTTGTGGCTCTAGAAGCGGCACAGGAAGAATACTATCGTCTAAATTCAACTGTCAGGGCGTCTGACATATTCCATGCTTATGAACCAGTCACGGCAGAGATTTAAGACGGTCAAGAAATGCATCTTCATACAAACTCATATATACCCATGGAGTATATGCCACGCAAAGTAGGCTCATGTACCGAGTGAGGGATTTTCAATGAGAAACCATTCCATCACCTCATTGCAGATGCCGTAGGAGAGCTCAATCGGATTCCCGTTCTCCGGATACACCTCCGTCCGCGGTCAATAAAGACCGCATTCGGCATCCTGTTCGGCGATTATAAGGCGCGACGGCAATGCAAAAATATACGATACCTACAGGACACTCCAAATAAAGGACGGGTTCCCTCTCTCTCTTATGTCCAATTTATTCGCCGACGTGTTTATTGACTTGACGATCAGTTTTTAGCCCGTACTAAGCGATCAAAAAGACATGATAAGCTCTCTGAGGAACCACTAATATTCTGCTACTCGGATATATATCGAGACAACTTTAAGAACCGTTGTCGACTTCGCTGGTGTCAGCTACCTTCCGTCAAGCTTCCAAAATTTTGATCTCCTCCGGACGACGGAGAAGCTACGATATGGCATAGCCTCCGCAGTCGATTTACCGACCACTCTGGGTGTTGATAACGCGGCTACGTTATTTGACCCATTCTCGCCAAAGTTTATGACCTTTTCCTCTTCCGTTACAACTAGTTGCAATGTTGACCTTACGGAACCTAGTGAAGCGTCTCGTGATTACGACTTTGGGAACTCTAACGAGGTATGAAAAGAATTGAATTTTCAAGAGTTTCCCCCAGCTGTAATTATTTTTTAAAGACTATTAAGTAGTTTTTGAAAAAAAAAATTTTAATACAATAAATCATACAAGCATTACATCTGGTAACACTATGTGTTAGCTGTACCAACCTAGAGAAACGCAATATACCACGTAATACACCATGAACGCATCGCGATGCGTCGGACGCTAGTAAAATTGGCTAGAAAATAATTAAACACTATGTGTTAGTCTGAACTTAGCCCGGAGGGCTTCTTAATACTATTAAATCAAGTTTTTATAGACGTAAAACGCTAGAGCGAGAGGAAAAGGATCTAATAGATGGCCGTGAGATCTATCTTTGCACAAGATCATTGCAGTATTCGGCGTTTGTAAGCCTGAAACAACTCTTTACTAAGTGCGCAATCTTATTATAGGCTCTGGAGTTACAAGGATATAATATAGAGCTAGGGCATGACAAGGCTTGCAAAGACGCCGATGCTACTATCATGGTCTCGGCGCCCAAAGCAGAGTTCATTAAAGATGGGCAGCTCAATGATCAATCCCAAGGATCAACGACTAACTTGGACCCGCTGACTTTACCCTCAAACATCAGGTCCAGCGCCCGCTGAACAGAAGCTAACCCTCCCTCAAGCTTAACCGCAGGACTGGGCCATACTTCACCACTCTTCAAGGCTGCCGGTAGGTAGCTTCTCAAATACCAATCACGAAGACCTTGATTGGCTGCCTCCGACACCAAGATATCGGAATATCCCGCCCACTTGTTCCGCACATTGTCAGGGAGCGCGTCGTCCTCCAGCGTAGGACCGGTTGAGAAGATCAGGCCTCCAGTATCTCGAAGCAACTCACCCATGAGCTGGGTCGCCTCCGAGGTGGCAGTACTACCGAAGATACCCTCATAAGGCCCATGAGCCAGAATTTCCCGAACAAGGTCCTCTCTTGGCCGAGTATGGTCGATGATATGTGTGGCCTTGCGCTGTTCCACAAGCTCTCTGATTCTTGGCGAAGAGGTCGTTACGACGTGGTACCCATGGCATATTTCACTGCCAGCCCGCCAATAGCAGATGAGATGACCCTCCGTATACAAAAATACTTTTTCCATTAGGCTCCGGCCTTCCTGCGACAGGCGGCTTGGACAAGCAGCCCATGTGAAGCGTCAGGGCAGAGACCACTGTCGCAAGGTTGGCGATGACACCAGAACCAACCTCCAGAGAAGTCTCTGGCGCGAGTCTCACCAGATTTTCCTCCAAGCCAATTGCGTACTGCTGCCACGCCCCGGATTTGTTTTCACTTGCCGCTGTGCCCCAACGAGCAACTGCGACTCAGTCCCCTGGTTTTACGGAAGCGACCCCAGGGCCGACGTCGATGACGGTCCCGGCAAATGTGAAGCCGCCAACGAGAGGATAGCTTGATTTGAACAAGTCCAGCCTTGATTCCAAGTAGCAACTCTGGCCCACCTGCTCACTTTCAAGTTACTTGGTCGAACACTTACTTTTGAATCTTGGCATCGATTGGGTTTAAGCTAATAGATTCATTCCGAACCAATACTTGACCATGTTCGGGAACCACATTTCAGTGGCTTCTAACTCGACTGGCGCATGGCGCGTCTTGATGTAAGCGGCTTTGTTCGACGTCATTATGCCAATGGTGAGAATCAGGCACAGAATCTACTAGGTGGTGTAAGATACATGGCAAGAAATTTCATCGGGTCCGTCTTTATTTTGGGTTTTACCAATATTTGTCCTTCAGTAGATCCGGAAATAGCCGGCTGTTCTGCTTAACGGCGCCTGACGTGGCAACCTTATTATGAATCAAGTGAAAGTCGAGCAGGCTGTGATACACTGGTGATGCTGGTGAGCGCCCGGTTGCTTACAGATCCATCAACAGCATCGGACCAGACTTGAGAATTTAGAAATAACCAGATGTAGCTTGCGGAGTAGCGCAAAGTGGCCCATTCATTGGGACTCCTGGATTGACCATCGCCGCTTCAGATGGCGCCAATCTGCTATCCGCCTGTCCCGAAGTTTGCGATGTAGTCACACAACATCCAACATCAAAGTCTTTTGAACCAGCTCTCAAGCCCTCCTGCTGAATTTGGCCATACATTCTGTCTCATCGCCACAATTGAGTGGAAATCAAGCAATCAAAGGGCGAACCATGTTCAGCGTTTATGCTTTGGAGGCCCCAAAAAGGGCAAGTATCTCATCGAAAGAGTCCAGCCTTGTAGCCCGGATGTCTGACCACAGCGCAAGCGTGGGCTAACGTATCCACGGGTCAACGGTTGACAGTGTCACGAAGCAAAGCCAAAACGCCAGCGCTGCAAACGGCACGGCACAACCTGCATCTGCAACCGGGAGCCCGGGAAACAGCCTTCGGCCTCTAGCCCCTTTCTTACGAAGAAACGCAATGGTTGGGTGAAGCAAATGGATCATGCCACCGAGAGCCGGGAGCGCCGCCTGCTCGAGTTTGGGCTCATGCGCAATTACGTGACCAAAACCAGTCCCTCTATCTGCGCCGACCATCCAACTGGAAAGATTTTCGCGGATCGAGTGTCTCCTCCTTTAAGCCTATTGATGCGGCCTAGGATATACTTGACAAGGCGATTGGCGACGAAGCCAAAAATGTCCGGATGAGCGCCTACACGTCGCTTGTATACGGTCAACAATAGTGCCAATGCAGGCAACATGAAGAGCGTGTGCTGGATGGTCCTTTGAAACACGATGGCTCTTTTCGCATCTTCAACCTGGAAGCAGGTGTTCGTGCTCGCTTCCATTATCACTTTAATGACACACAATACGCACATACCGCTAACGAGTACGGGTCCGTGGCATATCAAGCCTTTAAGAACAGTTGACCGGACAAGAGGTGCTGCTGAAATGGGCTACAAAAACTTTCGTTCATTTACAAGGACAATTATCTTTGTTCGTTCGCAGTTCAAAATCTGTACCATACTGGCACTAGTTGTGTTTATATCTAAGCCCACCCAGTGCAACGCAGAAGCCCGTGCAGTAATATAAGAGAACAATAACATTAGAAGCTTTTGATTAATTAAAAAACCTTTACCCCAGCATTTGACTCCTTCAACTTTCACACAGCCTGTGCAAACATCATCCTCTCACTGTCCCTATCGAAAACTGTATTTACCGCCGACATGAAGGGGTAGCCCATGACGTTGATCATCAGCTGAGCGATGGCGAGCGCGCAACTGCCAGTCTGTGAAGTCTTTGAAATCTCTTTTGAAATAACAGTCCGGGCCAACGGTACGCTAAGCATGGTCTGTCCTTGGTTAAAGCCAAAGATTAAGCTACTATTGCCCGACGCCAGCTGGCAGTTAACCAGTCCCAGGCCGTCCTTCTCCGAGAAAGTGGTGTCTAGTGCTCTGGCTAGGTTCTCCATGGAACCACTCGGTATAACAATAAAGGGAGTACCAGTGTTCACCGAGGTAAATCCTTCACTTCGGCCCAGTCCCAGATCCATGACTGTTGATTGACGGTTTTGGGGGCGGCCATTGCGCTGACCACCACGTGGACCACTCATGGATAGTTGAACAGAGCTCAGTCGGACGACAAAGCCGGAAATCCTCCCAGAGTTGTCTGGCTCAATGGGGACCGTTTGGAGCCGGCCCGCGTATTTAGTGCCATCGATTCCTCCAAAGACAACGGGCCCATTGGCGAAGGCTGACTTGACATATCAAGACCTGTTAGCTACACCCACTTGACGACTGGCCCTACGCTTACATATGTAGCTTGGTTAGGGGCGAATCGGGGATTGACTCACGTGTAGGGTTGAGCCACACGCTAAACATGTTTGTATTGATCGAGCCGACGTCCTTCATCCTCTGAGGCAGGTTCGCGTACTTGGCGTTATCGACCGTCTGCTCGGCATCAATTGGGCCCACGCCAAGAACAGGAAATTGAGCCGAATCTTGGGACACAGTCCCGTTGACTGCCAGGCCAACCTGCGCGGCCTTGATCTTGGCATCTCCCACACTCACAGAAGTGCTGATGTATGGCCCGTCGCATGTATCGCCACTTTGAAACCCAGCCGCGAACCCCGAATTCGGCACCCTCTTGACATCGCCATATTTGGCGGATTCATAGTCTCCCAGGGCAAGTTTAGATCCTTGACACTGCTGCGTTTCGAGTCTGCACACAACTGTCAACGGAATATAATGGGGTATAATTGCTATTCGATCAGAGCGCGTTCTTTTTCGTGATAACAACACTGCCTGCCCTGGGGATAATGAGATCTGAAGAACCAGTATCGAAGATGCCTGTAATAACTTGAGATGGGGTGCCGAAACCCATGGAGCCTAGTGACTGGAATGGTATTCCCCCCTCACGGTTTTCAGAGTGAAGCACATCGATAACCACTACTTTTGATTCTGGCTTTGGAGTTGAGGTTGTAGTCGATTTCGTAGTTGAAGTTGTAGTTGATTTCGATTTAGAAGTAGGCTTTGGCTCTAGAGTTAGAGTTGTAATTGGCTTTAGGGTAAAAGCTGGCTCCGGCGTTGAGGTTTGAGTTGAAGTCGACTTTAGAGGCAATTCTGGCTCTGGCTCTGGTAGGAAAGTTGGCTTCACCGGGAACGGCTCCGCCGGCGACGGCTTCACGGGAAGCGGCTCTGGTTGAAACGGCTGACTTGGAAATGATTGATATGGAAGGGGAAGCGACTGAGTGGGAGGCGATTATTCGGGAAATGATGACCCAGGAAGTGACGGCCTAGCAGGCGACTTATTAGGAAATGACGACTCAGGAAACGATGACTCAGGAGCCAGCTGCTCTGGGAATGGCTCGTCAACTGTCTTGGACCTAGATCCAGTCTCAGAGCCGATTCTAGACCTGGAACTGCCCTTAGACCTGGACGTATAGTTGCAGATGCCACATATTCGGCGAAGAGGATAGGGTTAATTGACTGATAACGCATTTCATCGGCTAGCACTTGGGTTTACCTATAAGTCCAAAGCTCAGAGCGTTGAGTCTTGTCGCAAGTGCGGCGTTTATATAACAAGTTTCAACATTCGATATTGGAGCATACACACATTTATCGTTTATCCGTCGACACAACGAGTCAGCGCAACAACGCGCTAAAGCTGGCGACGACAGAGCTATGCTTCAGAACCAACTTGCCGTTGCACAAGCCTCTGCTCACACTCTCCCACATGGGCTTCTCTGTGGAGAAAAGTTTTCAACACGGCAAATTGTATGTATTCGACAGAGAAAACAAGATCCCTGTCGCCGGAGGTCTCTTCAACGGGGGATTGAGGGACCACGCGGGGTACGGCGATAGGTGGGAAATGGAACGGCAGACAGATTTTCGGATATGCCTACCCTTGTTAGACTTTGGTGAACGAGTGTTTCGTTTGGGATGACTCGTGATGCTCGAGCGCCGTGGTCGTTGTGGCATGCCTCGCTAAAAGATCCTATACCGTTCAAATGGCGACTGAGTGCCGGATTGGGATGGAATGTAGTTACGAAATTCCGTCCTTCTCAACTTCGTATTTCGCCGGTCTGCTGGGTGAGGGTCGATGACGGCATAGTCGATAGCTTGTATACTAAGACAGCATTCAGTCACCCGAAAGCCGCAATATCCTGTCGGTTGACAAGACCTACAAATACCCGCAACACTGAGAAGCTGTCGATCTCTACTCTCCAATAACCTCTCATCCCCGTGACTATTCAGACCTCAGGGCGCCTCTCATACATTTTTTGTTGACCCGGAACATTTACAGATCCGGAGTGCCAAGACTGGCTGAAACATCGACACGGACGGTCAGATCTAGCGGTATCATGACCTAAGTGCTTGGCAGAGAGCTATGGACTCTTGGAACAAGATTTCTAATCACGTTGGCCTCCGCAGTGGAATGGTGAACAATTCCCATATTCAGCAATTATTGGCCTTCGCGCTGTCCGTATGATGCATGCCGGCAGTTGGAAATTGAAGAGACTAGCTCCCCACCACGCCGTCTTAGGTTTCTAGAATTTTGTCCGTGCGTGTTATGCTTCACTGTCACACGAAAAAATACCAAAAAACGGGCGTGGCCACGCCACGGTATTTTATGTGTTATACCCCCTTATATCCCTTGCGACATTCACACAATCTACCCCGTGGATAGGGCTGCAGAGAGTGAATTCGTGATTAAACCTGATGAACTGTATGGCTGATTATTCCAACTCCACCTATCAGACTTTTCCACCATACCATCTACACGTGGTGTGGTGGAGTTGAACCTCCAGGGTTTGGCTTGCTAATCATAAATATCCCTCCGAGACTGATTCCTAATGGTCTAGACAAAATGTTAGTGTAGGCTACCCGGTAGCTCTGACTTAAGCAAGTATAACGTGCTCTTTACGTCATTAGGCAATTTCAACATGTTTCGACAATCATCACCGCCGTGCGAGGTTGGCAGTACTGTTCCTCAGGCGTTGTTGTTAGCAGGGCACGAAGCGGGGAATCTGTGTTCTCATGCTAGGATAGGTATACCGTCTTGGAAAATTCGGAAGCAATCATTGTATAAAAGAGGTGAGGACAGTTTAGAACTAGGACATGCAACAAGCCTTTTGTCATCCGGATACACGATCCAGATTTAAGCTGGAGGCCGGTTAATTGCATTAGCGACTCCGTGGCTGTCACACGGATTAGGTCAAGCAAGGATTAGAAGCCTTCTGTTACAAAAGGAGATCACGAGAACTATGGCGCACACTAGGCACGGGCCGTTCCCTTCCTGTATATAAGATGGTCTCCCCTCGCCTTCTGGCTTGGAGGAACCAAGGACCTTTGACATCCTACAAGATTATCATTGAAATGAGCCCATTTGCTTCAAGCCCTCTAACGAGCCCTTGTCACAGTGGCGGACCAAGACACGTAGGGGGAAAATAATCAGCGCAACATATTGCAGTAAGAGAATAAACAAGAGCTTTAGAGGAACTTGATAATCCTGCAGGAAGACACGAGTGTAAAAGCGCTTAGACTATCTCTCTAGATAGCATACTAATCCTTGCCTTTCAACACAGTCGAAACACAGATCCGAAGTTCATAATTTTGGCGTTTCAATTGGCCATTGTTCAATGTATACAACGCATCACCGACCTAATTCCTGGACGATCAAGTCCTATCGTTTCTTCCAACGTAAAGCCTGAACTCGCTCACCGCTTGGGAGCGGACTATTCACCCATGTCTAAAGACCATGTGCAGAAAGTATTAACTTAAAGGCGTGTACCCTATTACTGATATTGAAGACGTATATATTTATTGATTGTATATATAGACCTTTATTGGCTGTCTTTAATAAAATTATAGCCAACGGCGGATATCATTCGAAATAGGATTTCCACACACCATTCCGGCTCTCCTTAAGCTATAAGGAAGGATAATTGATGATTAGAAACTCAATGAAATTATCACGGATTGTTTGTTTTCTTTTGCTTAATTAAGAGGACCTCAAGGCCTGTTAAAAGTGAAGCTGATAATGCTTAGCGATTGACGCTTAGTGTTTTAATGGCAAAGTGTATTTCAGTTATCCTACGCTTTCTTGGCGACAGGGTTATTCGCAAAAGCATCCGGTACTTGATTGACCAGAATGCCGATAAGCACCTGACTTTAGCTCCTGATCTTTAATGAAACTCTCTTGGAATCATATCAGCCCTTGCTATTGGGACTTGATTCACTAAGGTTGTAATCGTTCGGGCAAACCCGGACCTAGTTTTAATTGGGATGCTATTATTCCGTCAATGGATTTTGACTAGAATATGCTTCACCGTTTCGTTCTATTAATTCCATCATCAACATGTAATAACACCCACCACGATTAAGATAGGGGAATATGGAGACGAATGCTCTTCAATCGTATGATCTCCCAATGAGAACAAGATCATGGTCTATGCTTTAACTCATTGTGACAATCCGATTGTCATCCAGTCATTAGAATTACATTGTCAAATAAAATGAGAGTTTTCCATTCTTGCACAAACTAGTCTTGTGAGTCATCGCATTTATCCTTGGCATCTAGCATAGAATGCGAATCCCCTTCCATGAGATTGTTTGGTTACTACCTATCTCTGATTTGGTCCCATAGCGTCTACTTAGCTAGTCAAGCTGCTCTGGCTGGCGTGCGTTACATTGAGCCATTCTTGATGCAAGCCATTGTATATACCTTTCACAACCTGCATCTTTTTCGACAACACCCTCTTCTCTGTCAAATTGTCTAATTTTTCTATCATATATGCAATTGACCTCCCGGTAAAGTAATTATTTTTCTGGTTGTAGAGTGCGCGATGTTGTACTTGGTCTTGCGTTTCGTGTCCCTGAACCCGGAACACCTGTTCAAGGATATCAATATCTCCCCCGAAACCAAAGAGGTCACGGGATTCCTCATGAGTAAAGAGGTAATAGAACTCATGGAAACCGGCCCATGCAATTGCGCTCAAACACAGACTACAAGGCTCGTGAGTTGCGAGGAATATCGTATCATTGCTTGGGTTTGGCCGGCCAGTTGAGTTGGGAAATGTAAGGGTAAAGTATTGCTGGATGCAATTCAGTTCCCCGTGTATTAGTGGCGAGACAGTCCCGTTGTTCGTGGATACGGTGAGCGGCTGGAGGTTGCAGCGAGAGAGAATGGCCGCCCCGAAAACAGGGTTGCCCAGCAAGATGGCTTCACGGGTTATGGGTACTATAGATGTCTAGATAACTTGAAGAAGGGTGAGGAGAAAATTGACTGGGTCTGTCATTGCGACGAGTAAAGAAAGTTCAAATCTATACCTAGACTGACTCTTAAGTCGTTATAGTACGGCAAACATAACTAAACACATTTTGCACCACAAAGAGGTGGACTTTCAAAGCAGCTATATAATTATTGAAATGAGCTATTAAATCCCCTGCCATACCAGTCGAGTCAAGTATGATTGGGTCTGGTGGTACAAATAAACTTGAACCAGGTCAGGGGCGTAATTTGCGGTGAAATGTCTGGTAGTACAGCGCTGACTCCTAAGAGGCATCCTAAAAAAAAAAAAAAGGAGGGGGGGGGGGCGGGGGGCGCGCG